CAGCTTTCCCGCGTGGCGGCGCCGGCTCCGGGCTTCCTGCCGCTCGGGACCGTCCTCGCGGCCTCCCCCTTGGGGCTTATTTTTTACCTCGTTTATTCAGCTTGGGTGGTTTCATCCATGTCTTTAACTTCAACTGCTGACTTCCAGACCTATAACATATGTAGGACAGGCCTTTTTTATCTTCAGACCCACAGGTCCTCCTGCTTGCTTGGCATTTCCACCCGGATGTTTCTTCAAAGACATGCAAAATAACACCTACAGCCTTGCCCCTCCCCAAACCTGCTCTTCCACATACGCGTGTGTGGATGAACGTGGCTACCCAGCTGACCAAGCGTGGGAATCAATCTTGGTGACACCCGATCTTCACTTCTCAAGTCAGATGGATTCAGAGTTCTAAATAGCCATCCTTTAAAAAAAAAAAAAAAATTGGCACTGCTGTTGTTCTAGCTTCATTACCAAAGCAATCGCAGTGGCATACTAGCAGGTCACCTTGCCCCTCATTTCAGGCAGAATGATTTTTCCAACATATGAATTTGAACTTAACGTATAAGTCTGGCCTACAGCTGTTGAGCACAGACTTTTGTATGCACTGAAGTCCCTTGTGCTTTTTTAAAAAGATATGTAAATTTTTCATCCAATCCAGTAATGCTGATTTCATTAGAATGGGGTGGAACCCAGGAATCTGCATTTTAAACAAATGTCTCATCTGATTCCTATAGGAATCATACTTTGAGAAACAGTGATCTACAGAATAAAGTCCAAACTTTTTATCACAGCACCCAAGGAATACCTGGCTAACGCAACGACCCACAGACTATCAAAAGAATGTACCATTCTTGCCCATGTCTACCTTCCATATGGCATATATCCTTACCTATCTACCATACCTGCCTGCTGAGTCCTGCTCATTCAGCTAAAGTAATATTTCCTCTATGGAAACATTGTATGACTTCCTGGCAGTAATATACCTCGGGATTTCCACACTGCCCCTTGTTCTGTTACAGTGCTTATCTATTGTACTGTAATTAGAGGTCTTGTCTGACTCCTCAGTAGACTTTTGAGTTCCTACAGATCTGAGACCATATTTTCTTCAAGGTTATGTCTTCAGAGCATATTCCTGGAAGTAAAAGCTGAATTTCACTGGAATGTACTAGAAATTCAATAAGTGTTTGTTGAATAAAGAAAACATTTATTGCAGGCCCCTGGGTGACATAATAGACAGGATGGACCTGGTTGCTCCCCTCTCGTATCACAATCTATGTAGATAACCAGGACACTATAAAATAAAATGCTCTCCATTGTAGTTTCAGAGTTATGTATTTTACTTCTTCCTCCTATGTGTGTCGGTTTCAGGCACATGACTCAGGGGGTGGACGTGTCTGGTGTTTTCATGGAAATGGTGAAGGCCAGTGCCACTGTAGATATTGTTCAGAAGAAGTTGGTTTATCTCTACATGTGCACATATGCTCCTCTGAAGCCGGATCTGGCTCTCCTGGCCATCAATACACTCTGCAAAGACTGTTCGGACCCCAACCCAATGGTGCGAGGGCTGGCACTACGGAGCATGTGTAGCCTCAGGTGAACACCCTCTTCCCTGCCTGTTTCTCAGTGGCTGATAAATTTAGGAGGTCAAGGGACAGGTTTTTAATGATGACCATTTATTTGAGCTCTTTCATCCTGGGAAAAACACTGTTGAACCCTGAAAACAGTTTTCAGCCATTGCTTTGACTTAAAAACTATATCATATGGGTTCATTAGAGGGAGTTTTACATTCTCACTCTGGGTGAAATAGTTCTTGGCTTTGGTTAAAGATTCGAAACAATTGTGTGTGTGTGTGTGTGTGTGTGTGTGGTTTCGGCCTTTACACCATTATTCCAAATGAAAAGTCAAATTGGCTTTTTAAGCTTGGTAGCAGCTTTCTCCAGTTCATGATCTGATAGATGCACATTCAGACATCCATTAAACCCTCTGTTAAGTTAATAGGGTCTGAATTGTGTCAAAACTAGGATTTCAGGATCTGACTGATTCCAAGATATGTTGCTTAGGATGCCTGGTGTGCAGGAGTATATCCAACAGCCTATTCTCAACGGTCTGCGGGATAAGGCTTCATATGTCAGGAGGGTGGCAGTCCTTGGCTGTGCCAAGATGCATAATCTTCATGGAGACTCTGAAGTGGGTAAGTTTCTGTGTAATCCATCCTAATCAACAGTTACTTGTGCCTGCATTGTATGTATGACTTTGTGAAAGAATGTAGCTTTGGTAGAAAATAATAATGTGGCCCTGTTTCTATGCGTGTCCATTAAGTAGGATGAAGGGCTTGATACTTTCTGAGATTAGAAGTGTCCTTTCCTTGGATCTCAGGTGAGATCCTTTGCCTTAGCTACTTATAACAGCCTGGAGATGACCATTTTTTGGCCTTGACTTTGTATTGCCCTTGTGATTTTTGCAGCAGGGAAGTTCAGCTTTGTCTGCTTGGAGCTTTTCTTCTTTATGTGAGGTCTCTGTTCTCTTTTATAGATGGTGCCCTGGTAAATGAATTGTACAGTTTGCTACGTGACCAGGATCCAATTGTGGTGGTGAACTGCTTGAGGTCTCTAGAGGAAATTCTGAAACAAGAAGGAGGTGTTGTCATCAATAAGCCCATCGCCCACCATCTCTTGAATCGGTTTGGATACCTCACCTCTGTGCTCTTTTTATTATGATGAGATCTGCGCCCTAGTGGGATCTTATCAATATGTTGAATTAAGGAGAGGTCTTGAACAACTTCTGTAGAATAGTGAAGAAAGTTAGTCATAATTGTTAACTTCCTCATACTTCATTGAGAGAATTTCTTTCATTTGTCTTAGTTCTCGGTGATATAGAGAGATGGCAGAAACATCCTACGGGGATGGGTCCTGTCCCTACAGTCCTATGTCCCCCAAACTAAGCCATTCCTTCTGTCTTAAAATGCAGAGAATCTAGATCTGGGGTAAAGTGATCATGATCACGTCTTTGGCCTTAGATGAGTGTGCATTTTTACTGTAAACTTGTCTTGGAATTTAAAGTCGACTTTGTGTAAACTTTAAATAGTACATAAAAAGAATAATTTGATTATGGCACAACCCATTTTTAAGAATTCTCCCTTTGTTATGATGAACAGATGACTATTGACATGGCAGTAGCATGGAAATGGTCCTCATTTTGTTGCTAAAATAGCACTTTTGTTTGCTTTTTTGGATAGAATGCCCAAACTGGATCAATGGGGCCAGGCCGAAGTATTGAACTTCCTGCTACGCTACCAACCGCACAGTGAGGAGGAGCTGTTCGACATTCTCAATCTGTTGGACAGCTTTCTCAAGAGCAGTAGCCCAAGCGTGGTGATGGGAGCCACCAAACTCTTTCTGATCTTGGCCAAAAAATTCCCCCATGTACAAACGGATGTGCTTGTGCGAGTCAAGGGATCTTTGCTGGCTGCTTGTTCTTCAGAGAGCCGTGAGCTCTGTTTTGCTGCCCTCTGTCACGTGCGCCAGATCTTGCACAGTTTGCCAGGGCACTTCAGCAGCCACTACAAGAAGTTTTTCTGCTCCTACTCGGAGCCACACTACATCAGGCTGCAGAAGGTGGAGGTGCTGTGTGAGCTGGTGAACGACGAGAATGTGCAGCAGGTGCTGGAGGAGCTTCGCGGGTACTGCACTGATGTGTCTGCTGACTTCGCACAGGCTGCCATCTTTGCCATAGGTAGGTGTCTGCCTGCGGCACCCAGCTAGAAAGCCATGGAACCATTGAGAGCAAAAGGGAAGGAACCTTACTTACTTCAGAGACAGTACCATGCACCAGAGACAGGGTCAGTGACGACAAATGAGGGGAGGAAGATTTTTTTTGCCATATCTTCCAGTGTAGAGTATTCAGGTAACTCCAACTATAATACTTAAAATTTATATTGCCTTAAAACGCTTTCCTGTTCATCATCTTACCACTGTCTTGTGAGGCAGTCAGGAAAAGTGCACAGTGTTGTTGGCTTCATTTTAAAGAGGAAGAAACTCAGGCACCAAAAGGTTATTAAGTTTTCAAAAGGCCATATGGTTCCTGAGCTGGGACTGGAACCCAGCTTTCCTGACTCAGAGTGCTGTGTCAACTCTCCAGTTGTTTATTGAGCTGCTGCTATGGGCTTGTATTGTGCTGGGTATGGACCAACACAGAATGAAACCTTATCTACAGACTTTTTCATACTGCGTACTCTGTCTAAAATTTAAAAGACTAGAGTAACTTAGCAGCCGGGGAGCTAAGTTTTGGAGGCTTCAAGTGGAGTAGGAGAAGGAAGCCTCCTATGTAGAATAAAGTGTCGCCATTTTTAGGGGCAGAGAAGAGGGAACTAGGAGGAGAGTGGAAATCCTGTGGTCAGGATACTGCTATGAAGTGTTCTCAGTGGAACATTCCTGTGCAGGTATATTTCAGCAAACACTGCCGCCTCCTATCTGGCTGCCAGATAAATACCTTTGTTTCTGAAAATTTCCAACCTTGGTGAGTGGGAAATTCTTTTTCCATGAACTTTCAGTTTTCTACTGGTCTATGGAAAACAAGAGATTTATTTTTGCCAGCTTTCTCTTTATAGCAAACTTAGATTCATACTTCAAGTAAGGGGCGGTGTTTTTAGGTATCTCTGGTTGTCTTTGGCTGGTGGGAAATTAAGTTAGAATGAGGTGCTAGTATTTGATTTAACAATTTTCCCTGCTTTTCCCTCCTTTGTAGGTGGCATTGCCAGGACTTACACAGATCAGTGCGTGCAGATTTTAACGGAGTTGCTGGGGCTTCGACAAGAGCACATTACCACAGGTAATGGCTACCTTTCTAGGACTTTTTTGTCATTTGCCTGGCCTAGAGTAGTTGCTAGGATGAGGCAAGCCAAGTGCCTAGGATGTAAAAGTTTAAAGAGGCACTTACTCTCAGGTGCTAACCCTACATGTCTTCCTGGATTATGCACCCTGACCCCTTGCTTGGCTCACTGTAGTCCCAGCCCTGGGGGCTCCATTTATACTGTCTCCAGAGTGTCATGCAACAACACTACCCTGCATCTGCAAACAGCTTTACATTTTACCAAGTGCTTTCACATCCATTAGCTCATTTACCCCCACGGCACTCTGATCAGAGCATTATTCACTTAAATTATTGCCCACGCCAGACATTTCTCAGATAAGTATCGACCACCCTTCCAACACCCATTTAAAGAAATTCACCTAGAATCTAGTCTGAACAGAGGACTTTTCTCACAGTCCCTCCCTGCGTGGAGGCTCTAATCCTGTGCTTTGTTCCCTGGGCTGTACTGTAGTGGTTGTGCAGACTTTCCGAGACCTGGTGTGGCTATGTCCTCAGTGTGTGGAAGCTGTGTGCCAGGCCCTGCCCGGCTGCGAGGAGAACATCCAGGACAGTGAGGTAGTAAACATCCAGGACAGCTCTCCTTTACTTCTAGGCAGAGGGGGATGGGGGATTGCCCTCTGAAGTGGGATCTGGTTAATCTTTCTACCTGGTGTCTGAAGTGGAGATTTTTAGAAAGGATGGCCACCTCAGATTCTCACCCCAGGTCCACTGACTTACCTATGCAGGAGTGAGGCACCCAGCCGCATATATTTCTGAGAAGCCTCACAGATGACTCTGATGTGCCCTCTGGGTTAATCACCACGATTACTTCGTAATCTCATGAAGTAATTATCATGAAGTAATCTAGAGACATTTTTTAGTAGCTTTTACTGAAACATTAGCTGAGGAAGCCTTGTTTCCTCATCATCATAGGCTGTAAGAGTCCCAAGTCTCCTTTTGTGCAGTAGAATTTCATTCCTGTTTGTTCTAGAAAGTGTAGGAGGCTGGTTGATACAGTGCAAGTTGAAATAAAAGATTACACTGCCCTGGCAGGTAGCTCAGTTGATTAGAGTGTTGTCCCGATACTCCAAGGTTGCAGGTTTGATCCTCGGTTAGAGCACAGACAAGAAGCAACCAATGAATGCACAAATAAGTGGAACAAGCCCTGGCCGGTTGGCTCCTTTGGTTGGAGAGTCATCCCATGCACCAAAGGGTTGTAGGTTCGATTCTCAGGGCACATACCTAAGTTGGGTTTGGGGTGTGTACAGGAGGCGACCGATCAATGATTCTCTCTCACATCGATATTGCTCTCTCTCTAAAAAAAAGAAAAACATATCCTTGGGTGAGGTTTAAAAAAATAATAAGTGGAACAGCAAATCAATTTTTCTCTCTCTTTCTTCCTCTAAAATCAATCAATCAATCAATAAAAAAAATAAAAGATTACACCTTTTCTGCTGACACTGGGGGGAGCACAACCTATAACTGTACTCTCTCCTGTGTCTGGGACAGCCAAAGGTTGAGCACCTGTTCTTCCTCCCTCGTTCCCCAGGGGAAGCAGGCGCTCATTTGGCTACTTGGTGTCCACGGGGAAAGAATTCCCAACGCTCCTTACGTGTTGGAAGACTTTGTAGAGAACGTGAAGTCAGAGACATTTCCAGCTGTTAAGATGGAGCTCCTCACGGCGCTGCTGCGCCTTTTCCTGTCGCGGCCTGCCGAGTGCCAGGACATGCTGGGCCGCCTGTTGCAGCACTGCATAGGTGGGTGCTCCAGACGGCACGGCACGGCGACTCGCCGTGACCCCTGGGGAAAATTCCCGCGGCTTTCCTTGTTTGGCGACTCATGTCTGGGACCCAAGAAGAAAATGTTAATGTTCTCTAGGATTCCCTGTATCCTTCATTTTTCCTCCTAGTTGGGTGGCCCAGGGGTAGGAGGAGAGTGTTTGTTTCTAATCAGTCCACCCGTTGCCTTGCCTCAGAGGAAGAGAAGGATATGGCAGTGCGGGACCGAGGCCTCTTCTGTTACCGCCTCCTCTCAGCTGGCGTTGATGAAGTTAAGCGGATCCTGTGCAGCCCCAAATCCGACCCTTCTCTTGGGCTTTTAGAGGATCAGGCAGAAAGACCTGTGAATAGCTGGGCCTCGGACTTCAACACGCTGGTGCCAGTATATGGCAAAGCCCGCTGGGCAACCATCTCCAAGCGCCAGGGGGCACAGCGTCGTGGCCCAGGGCTTCCCAATACTGCAACCTTTGCCGCATCAGGTAAGATAGTCCTCACTCTCTATCTTGTCACAAAACATTGTTATCTTTTACAATGACTAGTAGAAAGGAGAGTCCCCTAGCTAAATCTCAGACTGTTGCCTGAACTTGTGAGCAAGAAACAAGTTCATCATTGGCTTTTGAAGCCATTTATCCAAAAGATACTTGTGGAAATCTAGATTAAAAAATGCAGTGTCTTTAGATTAAGAACATCTCTTACACGAGTTGTGTGATTCTTTTAGGACCCCTGATTCCTGAAGAGAACAAGGAGGGGGTACAAGAACTCCCCGATTCTGGAGCCCTCATGCTAGTCCCCAACCACCAGCTTACTGCTGAGTATTTTGAGAAAACTTGGCTTAGCCTCAAAGTTGCTCATCAGCAAGTGCTCCCTTGGCAAGGAGCAGTCCGTCCGGACACCCTCCAGATGGCCCTGCAAGTCGTGAACATCCAGACCATCGCAATGAGCAGGGCTGGGGCTCAGCCATGGAAAGCCTACCTCAGCGCTCAGGATGATGCTGGCTGTCTGTTCCTAGTAGAGCTGCTGTGGGAGCCCGAGGACTCAGAGATGCAGATCTCCGTGAAGCAAAGTGAGGCCAGTGCTGAGACGCTGGGCAGTTTCATTTCTGTATTGGAGACTGTGATTGGAACAGTTGGAGACATAAAACCGTGACAGTCCTGCTGCCTGTCCCAAGTGAGATGAAGAGCTGTCAGAGCTCTGTAGTTATTCTTACTGCAGCTGCTTGTAAGTCCAGGTAATATCAAACACAGAGGAGATTGGGAAATCTAAGAACCAGGCTTCTTAGGTTTTTGTCCAAAGACCATTGACTTACTCCTGTCAGACCGACTGGTGAATGAATGACCCCACTTTTCCAGGTGATGTTATAAAGGGTAGTGGTGGTGAGGGGGTGGGAGTGATGGGTGTCAGGATAGGGTGTGGAGTCTATCGTGATCAGTGCAACGGTGTTTTACCAATTAAAGGCACCCGATGTGTGCTGAAAATGGTGGAGTCATCATTTGTGGGCGTCATTTTCTCCCCTGGATTATTGCAGTGAATTCCTGACTCTTCTCATATTTCTAATCGCTCATCTTAGGCCAGAATTCAAAGTCTTCTGTGTCTCATCTCACCACGCCCCAAACACCCTCTGTGCTGTGCAGTTCCCTGAGCACATCCAGGCTCTCTCTCGCCTCTGTGCTTATACACCTGCATTTATTTCTTGCCTAGAACATTTCCTCACCCTCAAATCTTTATGAAAGTGACACCTAGTCTATCAGTGTTCAGCTCAGTCATGAGCTCTTTCAGGAAGTTTTCACTGCCTTCATTGAGTGTTTCCTTCACACTGTGAAAGCAGTTAGTGCATATGCCTAGCTGTACTATTATTGTTTTCTTGTCACTCTGCCTCACTTATCTTTTTAAGTGATGTAAGTGTATTTTAGAAGCTGCCTGTGCACTCTCCAGCGAAGAGCCAGCACTCAGGGCCCCCCATGCCCACCCACCTCCCCGTCTCTCCACAGGCCCACCCCACCCCCTTCTGTCTCTTTCCAGGCTGTCTCAGTTGTCAAGAGGGGTCTCCATGGACATAAGAGAGGAGTGTCAGAGGTCTAGGTGGCATCTATGGGAGTGGCAGCATCATGCCTTAGTGAGGATCAGGAGGCTGTTATCTCCAGCCTGGCACCTCAGGGCCTTCCTCCCGGGCTGTGGGAATGTGGGGTGTGGGGGGCAGCCTATGGAGGGCACAGAGGCTGGAATTGGGTATCTGGAGAGGTGCAAGTAACCCACACCCCCAACTTCGTGCTTCCCTGTCCATCCCAGACCTGCTCAACTCCCACAGTGCCTAAGAAAATGGGATGGCATGAGGGCTGGGCACCAGGGGCAGGTGGGAGGTGGGGCATGTGGGAAGTAAGAAGGACAGAGGGAGACAGAGGTGACTGAATCCCTCCACTCCAGGTCACTATAATCAGGAGGGGGTGGGTGGAGGAGGAAGGGGAGGTGCCCCACAGTCATCCCAGTGACTTTAGCGGGGCCGACTAACAGCCCAGCAGCTCCCCTGCAGGGTGACCCGGTTGTGCCAGGCTATGGGCAGGGTGCACACAAAGCGAGCCAGGAAGGGCATCTCAAACATGTTCTTGTGGGAATTATTGTCCACGTTGCCTGGGAAGACCTTGCTGTCTACAGCCCCCTGGCCCCTGTACTCGGTCCCGTTCACGCCATCATCACGGTGGGCCACTTTGTAAGCTACCACGTACTGGATGGTGAAGTCGAGGGCCTCCTGTGTGATGCTGGCCGTCACTCGCTTCTGGGCCCAGGGTGACCTGCAGCCACTCTGAGGCAGTGTTTTCTCAGCAGCTCAGGCGCTGAATTTGCCCTGCCTGTCCCCCGCACATAGAAGGGATACTAGCTGAAGGAACTCAGGCCCCAGGTCCTGCAGAGGCTGGAGGCTGTGAGCTGCTTGTTGGGGATGGTGGTGTCCTTCAGGCCCAGGGGCTTGGCACATCCACTCAACCCCTAGCCAAGGAGCTGGAAGCGCAGGGTGCAGCCTCAGTGGCTATAATGAGCACCAGCTTCACTGCCCCTCTAGAGGGATATCAAATATGTTGGTCTTCAGGCCATTGTCCAAATAACCCATAAATATCTTGTCTCCTGAGTCCCCTTCTCCCTGGATGAACTGGAACTTTCCCCATTGAGGCTGTAAGTCACCTTGAAAGTCTTCACTACGCAGCACCGCCTGCGCAGCTGGCACCCTGCTTCACCACATGCATCACCCACATCTCACGCATAAGGTTCACCTGGATCCAGGGGTTCTTATAGCAGTTGACGGCTGTCCAGGCATTGACAGTGCCCCTGCGGTGCAGGTGGGCCAGCTCCGGGGCCCAGCGCTGCAAACACATGCAGCCCAAGGACACGAGGTGGAAATCTACCAGTTGGTGTTGGCACTGGTCTCCATGCTCAGCCGTGTGGCACAGAGGGTCTCACAGTGGATGCCTGGGTAGCCTTGAGGGCACTTGCAGATATACTGGGTGAAGATGTCCCAGTGGTGTGAGTCATCAGCCACCTGGCCATCAGCACCATTGTGGCAGGGACTTGGGAACTGGAACCCTTCTCAGTTTCACTGCAAATGACGCCTGTGAAACCTTGGGGCAGGTTGAAGGGGAGGTTGTCCTGGCCAACAAGCAGGCCCCACCGTTCAGGCACTCGCTGGAGTCACAAAAGTCACTGAAGTCACTGGAGGCGGTGAGGAGGCCAGAGGCATAGAGCAGCTTGCTGCAGAGTGCAGCCACCAAGGGGTGCCCCAGCATGCTGGAGGACATGGGACCATGGGTGGAGGTGGGGG